AAAAAAAAGGCAACCCAAATCCTTAGAAGAAAGTAATAGAACCCTGCAGTTTTAAAATTGAAGCTAACAATCCAAATTTCTAGGCATACAAAAAAATAAAAACATACGAACTATATGCAAGAAACTATGCAATCAGTAAAGACCAACTCTGGGAATACCTAACATCAGAATTAAGAAATCAAAATTTTGGGCCGCAGTTTAGCTCAGTGGTTCCTCTGCCTCCTGCCTCGCAAGCGCAAGGACCCCAGTTCGATCCCCAGTACCCCCACAAAAAAAATTTAAGGCAGCTTTATAACATCTCAAAGACTTAAAGGAAAACATGACCCTAAAACATAAACAAACAAGAAATCATAGCACAGAAAAAGAAAATATAGCGAAAAAAGAACCAAATAGAAACTTCTTATTTGAAAGGATACAGTATCTGAAATAAATTCATCAGGTGACCTTAAGATCAGATTGACAATAACAGAAGTGTCCATTAACTTGAAAATAAAAAAAAATATTAAAAATGAATATAGTAGCACAGCCATTGAGGAATATTAAGAAGTCTAATATGCTTGTAACTTTATTCCAGAAAAAGGAGAGACTAAGAAAGAAAAACTATCTTAAGAAATATTGACTGAAAAGATGCCTGATTTGTTGATATCCAAACAAACATATACAGATTCAGAAAGCTTTGGGAAAACCCTACAAAAATATTTTAAAGATATCAAAATCAAATTGCTAAAAACCCACAGATAAAGGGGAGGAGGGCCCTAAAGAGAGAGAGAAATAGCACATTATATACAAGGGAACAATTAAAATACCCCTGACTTCTCACTACAAATAATCAAGGCACAGGACACTGGATCAAAATAATTAATGTGCTAAGAATCAACCCAAAATTCAATATCCCATAAAAATAGCCTTGAAGAATATAGGTGAAATAAAGACATTTTCAGGGGGCCGGAGATTTAGCTCAGCAGTTCCGTGGCCTGCCTTGCAAGCGCAAGGACCAGAGTTCAATCCCCGGTAGAAACGAACGAACGAATGAAAGAAAGAAAGAAAGAAAGTGTAACAGATAATGTGAAATAAAAAGAAAAGGGGCAAGGGGGAAATGAAAGGGGAAAGGAATAAATATGAGAAAAAAATGGAAACAAAGTCTTTGTAAATAGGGAAGGGTGGAGGGGTTGAAGGGAAGGCAAAGGAATACGGAAAAAATAAAAACCAAGATACATTAAGTAAAGGTACAAATTCCCAATGATGAATGTCAGTATACTGTATACCTAAAATGTACCAATAAAATTAATGAAGGGAAAAAAAAACAGTAAGGAAAAGAACAGAGAGATTAGGAAAGTGGAACACAGGGAAATACTGATGAGCAATCCTCCATTATAATATTAGGTAAAAAGGAAAAACAGTTACCAACAGAAGCAACAGGTAGTTTATTGATAGAAAACTGAAAGAATTTCCTTGATCTAATTCTGTTTTTGTGTAAGGCACAATCAGAAATTGATGAATGTCGAAAAAGTTTGAAAGCACTGCCACCAGTAAAAACCAAGTTGATCATGTCAGATAAGGAAGATTACAAGGGTACTGAGGACTCAGCTAAAATTTACAATCATGAATTTATATTTGCTATCACTGGTCTATATTGTGAGAGACACAAAACAATTCATTTTGCACTCCACTTACTTAAATTCAGTAATCATATAAATTTCTAAAAAGTTTTAGGTTCCACTTAATGTTTCTGCATAGCTATTGCTTTATTTAGATTCTTACATCCTTTCAAATTTCTTCATATGTAGTATTAGACACGTGAAATTACTCTTCTGTTCATGAGACAGCTAATTCTTCTGAACTCCACTTTTTTATTTAGATTAGTCTCTCCTATCTTAAGAGTCAGATCTCATGTACAAGTTGAACTGGCAGGTTACATGTTATGCTCAATCATTTAAAGGCAACACATTTTGCCTAAAATTGGTATGGCTTCTTTCATTTCTGGAAGACATAGTAACTATTTTTCTGTTTACATTTATTTATTTTCTACTTTAAGTGAGTTGGAACACACAAATTTCAAATTGCTTACAATTAGTTCAAGAAGAACAGGATAATAGACACCAATAAAACTGACAGTCAGTGATGCTAAAAAGAATATCCTCTTCTCACAGCACTAAAATTGTCGAAGAGGACTGAATAATTGTTTTAGAATAGCCATTCAGCAAGCAGCATGAAAGGATATTGAAACAGTCAACAGAAAACAAAAGAAAATGGTGTGGTAGAGACTATCTTCCACCTTAGACTCAGAACTTTCAAGCCTTAGACTGACAGATGGCTTCCTGATACACTCCTCAGCATTATCTACAACTAGTTATGAACATGGAACTGATTTTTGGCCAACAGATCACAATAAGTAAGTACAATGATATATCTGGGGTGCATGCACTCACTCTGTCCTTCCTCCTCTCTGCTGCTGGCCAGTATAGAGTTGGACAACCATTGGGATTCCTTATGAAAAGGCATATGCTAAAGATGGCAAAGCTGTCCCACCAGCCTTGGACCACCACCACTGGGTTCTTAACTGAAGAAGGAAAAAAAACTCTCTTGAATAGAGGCGTATCAGTCAACTTTTAGGTCAGAAATCAGAAGCACTCTAGATCTTACAGCAAAAGAAATTTCACATAGGGACCGGGATTTAGATCAGTGGTTCTGCTGCCTATCTCACAAGTGCAAGGTCCCAAGTTTGGTCCCCAATACAAAAAACAAATAAAAAGAAAGATGAACAAGATGCTCCAAAATCAGAGGAAGAGACAAAGCTCACAACTGAACATCCAAAAGTACTCTCAGAATGTTATAGAAGATGCTGTAGTAAGGATAAAGTTCAAGACATACAACAGAGCTGTGATTCCATGGTTGGGGTTGGAGACACAATTCTCATGTAAGCCCTGAAGCTGAGAAGAAACAAGTCCCTTCAAGAACACTTGCCAGCAAAAAGAAGTGTGGCAGAAAGACAGCTCCTTCTCTCCTGTCTTCTACTTCGTGCAAGCACATTCAACTGTGAAAGCTATTTCCAAATTTCCAGGACTCTAAGAGACAAGGAACTCATTTTCTCAAGTTTCTAGGTAATGCAAACTGGACAAA